ACTTAAAAATATTCCCTCAGCCCTTAAATTGAAACTTTTTTTTTTCCTTTAGTGTTTTTTTTCCTTCCCACCCTACCCGTTTTAAAAAAAATATAAAAAAAGAAAAAAAAAATGGCCTTTATTTTTAATTACTGTTACAAAAAATCTGCTATATTACTTTAAATAAGAAAACACTGATGACTTTGGTAATAACTTAAAAAAAAATGTATTTATTAAATAATATTTATGCTTTTAAAAATTTTAAATTTTAGGGGAATGTTTGAAGATTGCATAAAATAATTCATAAAAAATTAACAAAAAGTTAAATATAAACGAAATGATTTTTAATTAGACAAGATTCCGTTTATCATGTTTGGTTTTTGAAAAAGGAACCCTTTTAAAACAGAAAGTGAAAGATATTTAGTAAATCATTTTATTAACCCCAAAAAAGGGATATTTGGGCAATTTGAAAATTTTTCAAAACCCCAAAAATGACTTTAATTTGTAAAGTCCGGCAAATTTTTTCTGTATTAAATTTATATATTTTGGGTTTTAAGGAAATTTTATATCTTTTTGGTAACGAATTTAGCCTTTTAAAAGCACCGAGTAGTTTTAAAATGTTGGGGGCTTTGAAAAAATAATTAAATAACTTTGTTTTGTTGAGAACAAACTAACATTATTTGGATGTTCTTTAATTTTAAGGGTATGTTACATTTTAAAATTTTTAACGTTAAACTGCCCAGGGGTCAGTTGGAATACATTTATTTTATGGGAAAATTTTGTTCTGTATGTTATTATTTTTGAGTTTTTAAAAAATTTAAGAAAATAAAACAAAAAAAAATTTTGTTTTCCTTAAAAAAAACTTAAAAAAATTTCAGAAAGTAAATTTACAAACCTTTAAAAAAAAGGCTTTAATATACGTTTATTATTATTTGTTTTAAAACCAATTTGTATAACATCGCTTTTACATTATTGTTCTAAAGTTTGCGCATTTTCGGGGAATTTTAAATTTAAAAAAAATTTTTTGATAAGGTTTTTAAAAATACTTCAGGGGGCCGTTGCGGGGGTTAAGGGATTTTTTTTTAAAAAATTATTTCATTTTGGGGGGTTGAACCCTAAAGGTTTTGTGATGTTTCTTTTAAAAGTACCCCCTGTTGACCTTCGGGGCCCAAATGGTTAAAATAAACACAAAAACGTTTAAAGGTTTGGGTTTTTTAAAAATTTTATACAGTATTTTTTTTTTTTTTTCGATTTTTTTGTAAAAATCCTTTTTAAATTTGTCTTTATAGTAGTAAATTACATGAATCATTGGTAATAAAACTAAATGAGTCAGTTTCTGTGTTGCTGGACTTCAAAACTTTCCGTTTCACAAAATTTTTGTGTGGACTGAAAAAATTGATAAATGGGGAAAATTTTTTTTCAATGTAAGATAAAATAATTTCCCCCGGTGAGAAAAAAAATTATTTCCAAGCTGACAGAGATTTTAATATGACTTTTGGTGTTACGAGGAAAATAATTCATTTAAAAATTTAAAAACAAATTTCTTTTTTTAAAAAAACCCTTTAAAAAAGATTTCTAATAAAAAAAAAAAGGTGCGCAAATGATAATAAACGTGGGTCATTTCCCGGTCAGTTTTTAAATTTTGGTTTTTCCAGTATGTAGTGGTATTTCCTGAAAAACGTGGGGGAAAATTTAAAAAAGGTAAAAAATTTAAAAAATTGTTTATTTACTTTTTAAAACATTTAAATTATTTTTAGTTTTCCTTAATTTCTATAACACGAAAAGCATGTAAAAAGAGTTTTAAATATTAGGTTGACAAAATTCGTTTTTTTCTTATTCAGGAATGGATTTTTTTTTGGGGAACCGAACGGGGTTTTTTAAAGTGTTTTTAAACATTAAAAACAGAAAAAAATTCCCAGACACTTTAAAAATTATTGAAAATACTCGCACTGCGTAGAAAAAAAAATATTTAGCATTTTTATTATTAATTAATTTTTTATCATAAAAAAAATAATTGTAATAAAAATTCCTTTTCTCGTTTCCACTTTTTTAAAATAAGAAAGATAAATTTTAATGTCGGGGGAAGGGTTTTTTTAAAAAAGCTTCTGCAATAAACCACATATATGTTATGTGTGAAATTTTTTAGTGTTTGTTTTTGATTTTGAGTTTTTTTAAAATGTTTTTAATGTAAAAGATTTATTTCATGTGGTATTGAAAAAATTTTAAGAAATTGGGAGGAGTCGAGTAAAATATAAAAATTTAAAAAGGTGAAAAATTTCCCCGTTTTTGTAGAAACCTTGAATGTTCTGTTTATTATAGACCCTAATCTCTTTTTAATTTTATGATTTGAAAACATTCCCTTTTAATTGTATGTATTGTCTAAATTGAGAAGAAAGTTGTCCGGCGAGACACAAGTTAAATTACTAAAACTTTGCTTCACTGCAGTGAAAAATAATTTTTACAGTGAAAATACAGAAAATGAAAATACGCATTTCATTTGATCAATATTTCATTTAAAATATGGATATAATAAACTTGTATATTAGCTAAAATTCATAACAACTATACAAATGCTTAAAGATTATACATGTATAATGAAGCAGTAACTAATGACACGAGTCCTAGAATTTTTTAAAACTCGTTCGACTTCTGTATGTTTAAAGGGGCCACTTCCAGTATCAAAATCATTGTGAATGTCGATGATGTCAACGACAACCCCCCACATTTCACAAACGACCAGGAACGAGTATTTGGTGTTCCGGATAATGTGAGAGCAAACTATATTGTTGGTGTCATTAAGGTAATATTTATATTTTGAACATATTCATACTTCATATAAAGATACAAAAGTTAAGCTTTACACATGAAGCAGTTATATAAAGTACGTTAAGAATAAATGTAACAGGCTTAATCCATGATAAATGAGAAAACATAATGATAACAATATATATAAATTGTTAGCAAAATGTTACCCTTTCCTGTTTGGTTTCCTGAAGGACTCCATGCCAGAGGTGCTTGGTCGTGTTTTGGGATGCGTTCACTAAATGCCGCCCTTCCTTGTTGGTTTTGTTTCATATTTTATTATTACTTGCCTTAATACTTAACATGAGTAAATCATCCACAGTATTTACTGTCGCAGTGGCATATTTTACATTTTGTTGCATATTGAACATACAGAACAATCGTTATATAATACGCTATACATAGAATTACGGTATTAACCGCATGAATAAGCTTATTAATTAGTAATGTCCAGCCTCTTAATCCAATTTCAGGACAATAGGCAAAAACTATCTTTCAGATATTTGTTGGACAAGGTTATTGTGGTCAATACCACAGTGACCTTTACCTTTGAACGATTGACATAAAACTTAGTAGGTTTCTTGACCTTGCCATGAACAATGCCCCTACTAAGTTTTATTAACTACAACTGGTCTGACAACGTACGGACAGGCCACACCACAATATGCTTCATCTTCAAAAATCGGGGCATGAATATCAAATCAGTTTACTGAGAAGTATATACCAATAAACAATCTTTGTTTTATTTGTTGTTTTGATAAGGCTCAAGATAATGATACATCTGACGCCGGAAAGCTCAGATACAACGTAACAGGTGGTCGTTCAGATGTATTTGGTGTGAGCAGAGTAACAGGTGAAATTATAACATTAGTTGCAATTGCGAGTACAACTGGGAAGTCTTTTTATCTTTCTATCAGTGTTACTGATGGGGATGCATCACACAAAGATGCAACAATTAACGTAACTGTAAGTATGCACGGTTGTTTCTTACATATATAGCGTTTGCCATAAAACTGTTCTTGTCATGTTTGTTTAAAAATAGAGTAGTAAAAGATAAGATTATCTATTCCTCTTAATTTATGTATTATTTTCTTACGAACACCGGAATCACTTTATATTTCTATAGAGAGATCAATATTTATATTATTGCTATCTGTCGTTTCCATAGTTTGTTTGACATAATTTCTATTGAAATATAAACAGGAATACAGAAGGGTGAACGTTTCAGTTTACACGCAAAACGTACGCTCTGGAAAAACGCACGCACGTTACACGCTATACAAACGAACGTTACACGTACGCTAAACCAAACGAAATACGCAGACACACGCAAAACGATATACGGTAAACGAAATACGCTAAACGATAAACGCACGCTAAAACGCACGCAAAATAAGAACGTGTTTAAACGTTTAATAAAATATCGTAATCATATAAGTTTTAAACAACTTTAGCTATATCGTTTAGCGATTTGATTAAATGATACCTACAAATGTATTTTAAACGGGTTTGTATTAGAGCTGAAATGCACTCAACCTGGCACAACATTATTTTTGTCACAGTCTAAACAGATGATTTTTGAAAAAATATAAGCTACTATACGCTAATATTTAAACAATAATTGAATTAACAGGCTCGTCTTTATGCGCACTTGTGAAAATACACTTTGTTTCAGTCCAGGAATCTCTTAGATAGACGTTTATTACGTGGACACTGCTTCCGGCGATCAAATCATTAAGTCATTTACATAGCATCGAACGAAATTAATATGACATCTTTACACAAAAGGGAAACATACATTGCAGACCGGCAACATTTCCAAGACAATGGTAAACAACAAAGTGCCAAGGGCGCCGGCCAAAAATACGACAAATCTACTTAGTCGTATTTTCAAGTTTTCGCCTGGTGCCCAGCGAAGTTAAAGTACGAAATGGCACAAATCAGCCACCATTGAATTGTCTTATCCAGAAAAAGGCTAGCTATTTTTATTTGTACAAAAATATAGAAATTGAACAATGTATTAGTAAAGTTTTCTTTTTTTAAACTATCTAACCGTATCTTCCAAGGTTTTGATGTGTTAACTATTAAGCACATAAAATGTGTAAGCGGCCGGGCAGTACAGTCGGTAGAGCCACGGTACGGTATTCTGAGGGTCTCGGGTTCGAGTCCCTGCCAGGCTGCACATTTTTCTCACCTTGTGACTAACGTATAGCACACAGTTTAATTCACATTGCTCTGTAACAATGGGAAATTCGAGGAAATATTTGCATATATAGTAGGGAAGTAATTTACGGTTTAGAAATTTAGGAGAGATAAAGTGTAAGCGGCTGAAAAGCTCAGTGGGAAGAGCCGCGGAATGGTATTCCGAGTGTTAGGGGCTCGAGTCCCTGCCAGGCTGTTACATATCATCAATATGAATCTTTTAATTAGAAAAAAAAAGAAAAATGGGAAGGAACTGTCTAAATTAAATATCACCCAAATTATGATTCAGACAGTCTAAAGAAACGTCTGAAGATGAACTGGTAAAAGGGGTGGGGGACTAGTCTGATTACAATCTCATAATGTCTGACGAACCTGATATCGGATATATTGCTACGTATATTAACACATGTTTGCTGAATATAATATCAAAGATGTTGTATGTAAAAAAGGATAAACACTTAATTTTTGGCGTAAAGCACGTCGAAATCCGGAATATTCACCATGCGGTCACAAATTGTAATGTAAATATCACAATAATATTTCTATATATAATATTTCTATTCTTCGAAAGAGACACTGAACATCGTTTACATCTCTAATAAACCTGAAATTTACAGAATAGATCTATTTAGGATACTTTTTAACTTCTTAATAGTAACAGACGCAAAACACAGTACTTAAACGTTTAGACGAACGCAGACGCACGCTTAACGTTTCTGTGGATAACAAACGCATGCTTTCAAACGCACGATAAACGAAAAACGATACACACAAAAAACGATCAACATTAAACGCTTGTAAACGATTCACGCTTGAGAAAGCGTTTTATTTAACGCACGTTGCGCGATATACGCCTGCATGATATACGAAAAACGCACGCACGAAAAATGAGATTTTAGACCACCGAAACGTTAACCCTACTGTACATTATGAATATTTTGAAATTTGAATTTTGAAATATTAATATCTATATATTTGATTATCATATCACACAATATTGTTAGAGCATCGTTAAATACATTTTAATATACTCTCTCACAAGTGAACGATATAATTATGCATTTTAGATACACGTTGTTCCAACGAAAAACCAGCCTATCCTTACTGTGAACCTACGTGTAGATGATATTAACAAAAAATTAGAGGACTACCGAAGGTAATGTCATATTCATTATTTCAATGTAAATATTGATATCATTTTTTTATTTGAATTATATTTTGCCTGAAAAGGACTTTTTGCAATACAAGGCATCAAATTCGACTTGCACCATGTGTAATATAGGTTTGACAGCTGTGTACTGGTCAATCAGAAATCAATATTGTTTTCAAAAATGTCACTGATCGCCTTTCTAGCAACTGTTTTACAATTTATTTTTTTTATATCACAAATATACTTAATTCGTCGAATCGGTTGAAAAACAGCAAATATATTGATAAAAACATGCCCGAATCTGTCATTTATGCGTGTTAGAATGCTCTATACAAAAGATCACGTAGTTAAGGCTCAATGAACAAAATACCTTTTGAATAAATATAAAATGTTTAAAGAGGTAAATCTTTGTGCAAGGAGATAAAAAAAGAAACACAAATAAATGGCGTTAAAAGGTTAAAGAATGTATTTCTAAATGGTATTTTATAAACACGGTTTTATTGTAAGTTGAAAATAAATTTATAAATTTTGACATTTCAGTGGAAAATGCACAATTATAATACACACATAAAATGTTATGTTTTGCAGTGTGTGTAATAATAAATGTGATTTAACCATAACGAAGGCATTCATTGCAGAATGTACTTGGGAATTTTTAATTTCAACACTCTCCCAAAATTTAATTTTATTTAAGAAAATATCTACGTTATTGTATCCTTCATGGGATTCTGTGTCATGAAAGGCATTGTTTAAACCTAAATTGACGTCCTTCTGGAAGTTAAATGTTCTAACAATGGAACATAGCAAATGTGTTTGTAGTTATGGTCTTGATAGTACAAGCATTTCAGTACAGATCGTACATGAAGTAAATTCGACCAAGAAAAAATATGATTTTTATTTTTATTTTTAGGAATATGAGTGAAATACTTGATATCCAAGTTCAGTTTGAACGCGTAGAATCTCACCGTGAAGTTGACGAAACAATCGGTATGACTCGTGTTGATCTCTCTAAGTAAGTATTAGTGTCTATACAAAGAGACTTTCTAACACAATGGTAACACAAGTGGTGCATGTGTTGTCCTGTTATGTGTGCCACATTGATGTCATTTTCGATTGCACATGATGTTGACCAGCTCACTGGAATATAAATTTGTTATCAAAGTAGTAAAAATTATATGTATTTTTAAATGCCCGGAATTTCGGGCATATAATTTTATACCCCCAAGAATCCGTCCGTCTGTCTGTCCGCTCTCACGGGACAGTAATTATGTGGCTAGAGAGACATTATATAACTGTTCTTTCTGTTTGATTCATTCCGTAATGCTTTTATGTGGCTATTTTCTTTTGTGTGTCTAAAAAGATCAATAGAGAGAACAATAGAGTAGCAATTATTACTGTCCCGTTAGAACGTCCGTCTGTCCGTCAGTTAGAAATTTGGTTTCCGGAGCATAACTTAAGTTCCATTCGAGCTACAATATTCAAACTTCATAGTATGATTGTCCATATCAGGTAGAATACCCCTATTGTTTTTGGGGTCACAACGTCAAAAGCCAAGGTCACTATTACCTTAAAACAGTTTCCGGAGCATAACTTAAGTTCTTTTTGGCCCACAATATTCAAACTTCATAAGATATTGATAATTGTCCATATTTGGTAAAAAGCCCCTATTGATTTTGAGATCACAAGGTCAAATGTCAAGATCGCTATAGCCTTAAAACTGAAAACAGTTTCCGGAGCATAACTTAAGTTCCATTTGGTCCACTATTCAAACTTCATAGGATGATTGTCCATATTGGGTAGAATACCCCTATTGATTTTAGAGTCATAAGGTCAAAGGTCTAGTCACAATGATCTTTCCACTGAAAATTGTGGTTTCTGGAATATTACTTACGTTCCATTTGGTCCACAATATTCAAACTTCATAGGATGATTTTCAATATTGAGTAGAAGACCCCTATTACTTTTTTGGTCTCAAGGTCAAAGGTCAGGGTCACTATTACCATAAAACTGAAAACAGTTTCGGAGCATAACTTAAATTCCATTTGGCCCACAATATTCAAACTTCACAGGATGATTGTCCATATTTGGTAGAATACCCCTATTGATTTTAGGGTCATAAGGTCAAAGGTCTAGTCACAATGATCTTTACACTGAAAATTGTGGTTTCTGGAGTATTACTTAAGTTCCATTTGGTCCACAATATTCAAACTTCATAGGATATTTGTCAGTATTGAGTAGAAGACCCCTATTATTTTTTGGGTCACAAGGTCAATGTCACTATTACCATTCATAAAACTGAAAAAGGTTTTCGCTCAATAACTTAAAGTATTAATCAACCTACAGCTGTAAAATTTGAGAGGATGAACAGGATGAACAGCCATGTCCAATACATGACTCCTATTGATTGTGTTTTACAACTGTCAAACTTCATAGGATGATCACTTATATTGAGTACACTTATTATATGCCCTAAAAACTTGCTTATATTATGTTATATCCCTGGCGCCTTTCTGTCCATCTTATTTAATCTAAAATAACCACGTCTTACAAATGCTTCATCCTTACTAAAAATCACTTTCGGGCATATAATGCTCCGCCTAGCGGTGCTCTTGTCAGGTATTGACATTATTTTCATAAACAGATTATTACTTTCTTCTGTGATATTTGGTATTTTCCAGAACTGATTTGATATTTCACGGTGTCAACACAACGTCAGGATTTATAGTTTCAAATGAAAAAATGGAACAGTGAGTTTTTTCAGTTATATAAGTTATAGTTTTGACTTTGGTATGTAGTTAACTAAATTATGTAATTAGCATGCAGTTATACTGTATACACAAAAAAAGGACCAATCCAGTATAATCTAATCAGGCTTATGATAAGATTAAATATATAATGAAGCGCAAATTTCCAGATGTGGTGAATACCTCACACTCTTTTTTGTTAAGCAAATATTTAATTAACGGTCCTGTGTCTGCAAAATCTGTACAAGAATTGTAAAAAATGATATTTATAATTAACTCATTATATCTACAGGCTCCTTAACATTCACAATTTAGAGCTTTCACAACTGTTCGGTATGGAAAGTATTAGTCCAAATTACGTGATAATTGACGTCATCGCAGACCCTTCAGCAATATCTGCTACTCAGATTCTCTTCATATGTATGGCTGTGTTTATTTTCTTTGGTTCATTGGCTGCCCTTGTTGTGGCACAGTACTCATGGTCGAGGTATGTATGATTAATTCTTTGGATAAATATTTCATAGAAATCAATGATTACATTAAAATAAAACATATATTTCTGATAAACACGTACATTAAATAGACAAGACAATAAAGTTAACAGTCTTGTTTCATCTTAAATGTTGGACGGACTGATACTTGTTAATATATGAACATGTAACACTTACAGTTCACATGCATTTTTGTTCAGTCTTGCATTGGTAAATAGGATCTTACTTTATATGTTAAATTTCTTTTATCGCTTACTTTAATAAATAATATTGAGTAAAAAATAGATCGTTTAAAATAAGATGTGCTGGTATTTTATATAAGATATATACAAGCCATAAAGTGATTCTAATTGTTTTGTAATTCAGAAAAAATAGGAAATACTTGCAAAATAAGTGTTAGAAGACATTTACACATTTTTAAATAAAATAAAATTAATTCTTAATCTTTCAAATAATAACACAAAATTTCTTATACTATTGGACATATATTGTAAATTTGGAAAATAAATGCTTCGAAGGACGGCTTGCTACATGGATAAGACAATAAATCTGAATATAAAAACTCTAATGCTAAGACCTTTCCTTTAATTATATACGAAAATCATTTTAGAATTGAGATGGAGAGACAAGAAGCTGAAAAGAACGTTGAAAGACTAGAGAATGAAATGGAACTGAGCACAATTAGAAGTAGACAGTCTAGCAAGCTTTCATCTATCATAGCAGCAGCAGCGGTAAACCCTGCTTTTGCCGAAACTGAGTTCACAGGGTAATTTTAATCTAAGATTTATACCTTAAATACCAAGGTCAGCAGGAGTTTTTTTTACGTATTTTTCTGCATTTATACATACTCTTCCGGTTTCACGCAGATTGTTTTGACAAAAGAGATTATATAAATTTAATTTCGATAATTGAAAATATAGTCACTATACAATTAACTGTAGATCGTTTGCATTACTGTTGTGCTATTACAAGTAACCTGCATATTTTTCTTATTTTTTTTAAGTATGATCAGTTTTATATTTTAGCAGTACAATACACTACTTATTATAAAATGATATCTGTTATTTCAAAATATTCCTTATTCGGCCATTTAATACCTTAATCGAAATGAATTGATGAAAACAGTTACCTGTTACCTTTTTGTACAAAATTAGTTAGACATAACATGATAAAACACAATTTGGCAATAATTATTAACCAAACACCAGCAACTGAATTTACTCGTACTATTAAATATTGTGATGATACCATTGTGCCTTATATGTCTTTAAAAGAGTTTTTATTCAATAGCATAAGATAAAGAAATTTCTTGTTTTTGTATTTAAGCAATGGAAAGATTGTTACACAAACGGAGGAGCAGGAGATGCACATGCTCTTTGGAGATGAGCCACTTGAAGCCATTTTAAATGCCCAGGGTCTTGGAAGTGCATCACAGAGCGTTATTGATAGCGGAGTAGGCCATACATCCGTACATTCAGATGCTAACTGTGTTGATACGTCTGATCAGAAAATAGATATTGAAACTCCAGCAAGATCCCAGTCTAGTTTAAATGTGCAGAATGATATTCCAGTTAATGATGAAGGGCCCGTTATGACATCAAGTCCTAGAATAAGTCGTGAAAGTAAGCCTATGGACGATAAAGTCATTACAATAAAGAATTCAGATGATAAGGCTGAGATCATTGAAGACCCAGGTGGTACTGATATTACTAAAGAAATTCCTGACCAAGTTTCTCGAAGTAGGACGGCTTCTTTTCTTCTTTTAGATGCTACTGGAGAGTCGGAAACGGACGATGCTGCGGACGACACTGATGTTAAGAAAAAAAGAACTACAAATGCAGCAGAACAGCAGCATGACAAACCAAAAAAGGTCGTCAGACTACAGTTACCAAGCGAATCAACGCCACAGGATTCCAAGGTTATCTTAATACCTGGTTCAGACGAAGGTAATGAGGGTTCTTCAGATGACGGTAATAACATAGATGAAGAGAATGAGGATGATTCCGAAATTGAATGTACCTCATTTTGAAACAGATTGTCTCAAGACATTTTTGAAGAAGTTGACAAATGACAATTTTGTGCAATATAACACATCTATATAACCTAATCTTTATGTATTGAAAGGTTCATATTCACTCATTACCAACATATTTCATGTATGTTTGTTAACAAATGGAATCAATCTGTAAATGCCGTTGAAATGTAGGGTTTTTCATTGTTAAAACGATAACATTTGTTTTAATCCTACAAATGATTTTTTCATTATAGCATTCGTGGTACATTCCTCTTGACTTGCGAATGAAACAAAGTATATTTAGAAAAATGAATGTTTCATAATATGTGATACACTTTCAAATAATTGTTGCGATACTGATTTTATAGCTACAAACAAAATGCTTATACCAAAATAAACTAGACACTTCACCATTTTGAATGCGACGTAAAATTCTGGAAAACGTTAACGTCATGACGTCATGTATGACATCATTATTATCTGTTATTTTCAAGATGGCGTTGTTCATGGACAAGTGTCAAGATATCATAAAATTGTACTATGAACAGCATTCTATCATATCTGTAACTAGAAGAATAAGGAAAATGTACCCTGCCGACAGAAGGGTGACCAGGCTACAAGAAAGCAGAGTAGTTAAAGGAAATAAAAATGATAGAGGAACCCAATTTTGGGCCCCTTTTTTTCTAAAAAATTTTGCCAAGTTTCTCTTGGACCTTTTTTTTTCCCAAGGGTTGGGAATTTGAAACACATGTTTCCACAGATGGGCCTGCCAAACACGGCCCAAAAAGGCTCAATGGGTTACCCTTTCCCCTTTAAAAGGATTTTAATACCTTTTTAGAAAAAAGGTTTAATTTTCCCAAATGCTTTAAAAAAAGTTGGGTAATTTTTTCAAATTAAAATGTTATTTTAAAACCAGATTGTCCCAAGACATTTTGGGGTTGTGCTTTGGGGAATTAAACTTTTCCAATTTTTTATTGGGGGTTTCCCAATTTTTCCTAAACCCTTTTTAAAATTTTTTTTGGAATAAATTTTTAAAAGGTTTAAAATGTTTTCCTTTTTTTTAAAAAAAAAATTTTTTTTAACCTCTATTTTTTATTATGCAGGCCTTCTTCTTCAAAAACCTTTCAAAAAATTTTTTAATTTTTCCCCCAAAAAGTTTTTTCGTAAGGGGATTTTAAACAAAAAAAAGCCCCCCTTTTTTAACGGGGCCCACCCCTTTGAAGGCACGAAAATTCCCTTAAAAAGGGTTCCTGCTAATGCCAAAAATCTGCCGGATCGTTTCTAAATTCAAACTTTTACTCAAAAAATTTGAAAAAATTTTTAACAAAAGGGTGGAAAAATTTTTCCCCAAAACCGGGGGGGGCCCTAAGGGGGGGCGTGGGGGGGGAAAACCCCGGGGTAAAATTCTTTTGGCCAAAAACTTTTCCAGAAATCCTGACAGGTTTAAACCGAGCCCTTCAATTTGCCGTGTTGGGCTTTCTTTAGGGATTCTGTATTTATCTATTTTAAAAACATTTGACAAACGATTTATCTCTCTGAAGACGGAATGCACTTGGCCGCCCCACACTCTGGATCTCAGTCCTTTGGATTTCTTTCTTTGGGGCTTTCTCAAGGACAGACTCTACAAAGAACACAGATCAGCTTAAACTGTCCATAAGATGTAAAAAAAGAAAGATTACTGGTGACATATGCAATAATGTGATGGAAAACTTCATGAAACGTGTGGAGATTGTGCGACGCCATAACGGACGTCATTTTGAGTATATGCTATAAATGGACCCTGTTTTCAAGCGTAGGTAAAAATATTATTGGTAGGTTAAATAAGGAAAAACTACACTTTTATAAATGAACAGCATTTCCCTTTAATATGGTACATTTTTCATTGTAACTGACATTCTTACATAAACGAAACATTTGATTAAAAGTGTATCACATATTATGAAACACCCTGTATATCATAGTTGAGTATTTATATCATTTTTTATTTGTTATTAGATCCACTTTTGGAGAACATGCGAAGAGCTGTTATCATGGCTCTCTCGTCGGCGTTAGAGTGGGCGTTATATAACATTTGCATTAATGTTCATTTTCTTTATTTAGTCGGAAATTATGAAAGCTAACCATTTCAAACATAGTATGCATTTTTATTGTCATAGAAAGACGCCCTTTCAAACAGCCAGTAATCCTGATTTTTTTTGCAAAGTTATGTTCTTTCTTTAAATTAGATTTAAGTCCTGTTTAACATTTTAATCTCCGTTTTCAGCTCACCTGTCACAAAGTGACATGGTGAGCTTTTGTGATCGTTTTTCGTCCGTCGTCCGTCCGTAAACGTTTTCTTAAAAAGACATCTCCTCATAAACCGCTAAGCCAATTTCATTCAAACTTCACAGGAATGATTTTTTGGTAGTCAACTTTAAAAGTTGTTCAAAGAATTTGATTCTAAGCAAAACTCTGGTTGCCATGGCAACCGAAAGAAAAAACTTAAAATATCTTCTTTTAGAAAACCGAAAGAGCTAGAGCTTAAATATTTGGCATGAAACATCATCTTGTCAACGTCTATCAAGTTTGTTCAAATAAGGGCCCTAAGGTTAAAATTGACCCCACCCCGGGGATCATTGATTTTCCTTATATGTAGATAGTAAAAACTGAAAAAATCTGCTTTTAAAAAACCTAAATAGTTAGAGCTTAGATATTAAGCATGAAACATCTTCAAGTGGGTCTCTACCAAGTATGTTGAAATAAAAGCCCTTGGGTTAAAATTGGCCCCGCCCCAGGGGGTCATTGTTCTTCCCTTTATGTATATAGTAAAGACTTAAGAATCTGCTTTTAAAAGATCCTAAGAGCTAGAGCTTAGATATTTAACATGAAACATCTCCTAGTAGGTGTTTACCATTTTTGTTCAAATAAGGAACCTGGGGTTAAAATTGACCTCGCCCGCGGATCACAGATTTCCTTATATATATAGTTAAAAATTAAAAATCTGCTTTTACAAAAATCCAAAGAGCTAGAATTTAGATATTAAGCATGAACTCTCTTCTAGTGAGTGACTTCCGAGTTTGTTCAAATAAAAGTCCTGTGGACAAAATTGGCCAGCCCAGAGGGGGGGGGTCATTGCTTTACCCTATATGTGTAAAAAACTAAGAAAATATTTTAACAGCTAGAGCTTAGATATTTATCATGAAACATCTTCAAATGGATGTCTACCAAGTTTGTTCAAATAAAAGCCCCTGGGTTAAAATTGGCCCCGGCCCGGTGGCCTATATACAGGTGAGCGATTTCAGGGCCATCATGGCCCTCTTGTCTCAGTAACTATTAAAGTAATTTACGTCAAACTTGATATACATGTTCACTATCATATTATGATACATTTCATAAGGGCAGATAATTCTGAAATTCATTTTTGTAAATTTTTATCCCATTTTGATTTTTTCCTTTGAAAGTCGAATTCTCAAAAAAAGTCAAATTTGATCACTGCAAGTTGGGAGCACAATTATAGTTCTTAGATTGGAATGAATTTCTAGAGGACAAGTAACGTTTAAGTAGATATTTCTGATTGATGCCTATTTTGATTTTGAATTTCTTGCAAGATTCACTTAATATTTGGAGTACTTGTTCGCTATCAAATTGAACAAATTCTTAGCTAAATATATATCAGATGTTCCTTTTCTTTATTAACCATGAAAAGTTCTATTAAATAATTAGCTAAAATTGCTGAAAATGGTCTTATTAATTGGGAATTTTGTGTTTAATCCCCTTTTTTAAACAAATGGATTTTGAAGTTAAAATGTTTTAGAGGAGAGATAATTCTGAAAGCCTTTTATTTGCTTTATTTCCCTTTTTTGACCATTGAAGGTATTCACTTTAAACTTGAAATATTATTTTTGACTATCAAGGGCATATGCCGTAAGTTTGATAAGCTGATTTGCAGATTTATGCTCTTTTACTATATTGCGTTTATTTAACTGAGGCACTCAAGCACTGAGAATAGTGGTGCGCGCTGTCCTCGGACAGGTCCTACTATTCTTTCATCTTACATATTCATCAATTATGCAATATATTTATCAATGATAATAGTTTTAACTATAAATTGTTTTACAAAAAGAACTTATTAGTCTCTTTTATTACTCTACTCCAAACATCCCATCCATTGCATATTGATATGACAAGAGACAACAGCAGTTCGATCAAACAATGTAACATAATGAAAGAAACACTTTGAATAACTTGATGTTTCAATGCTTGGTTTTCGACGAAATATCCATGAAAATATACATTTGTTAAATTGTGGCTTTTAATATTATAACAATATATGACAAAATATTAAATTGCCAAGACTAGGCAACACACGTCAACACAACTGTTACAGCCTAACAATGCGTGCATCAACAGTTGCAAATTTCCACGTTTCTTTTCGTGTCTTTGGTTATAATACATAAATTGTATGTGACCGAAACATCCACCATCGTGTAATATATCAAAGGCCTCAGCTCTGAATACTAGTATGAGATGATAAACAATATTACACCTGTAAGACTAAACCCTTCGTTCAGTTTGTATCCTATAACTCAGTCACAGTCTGCCAAATCCCAATCGAACAGAATAGAACCGTAGTCGATTTGCAAACATGTACATTTAAATTCAAATTAAGGGGCAATAACTAAAAAAAAACAAAAAAAAACAAAGCCAATATGTAAGAGTTATTTGACCATGTAGAGTCAAGCTGAAACAAAGAAATCTGCATACATTCTAAGCATGATATAAGGGGCAATAATTTAAGAATAATGAAGTGAAGAGTTATTGTTAGCGGCACTCTCCTCTTACAGAATCCATCAATCTACGAAGTTGCACGTTGGTGGTTTTTAACAAATGAAATAAGGTAAAAATTTATTCAGAAAGTATTCAGAAGTTTTTTAAACGTTACATGATCATATACTACCAAAATTGAAACCAGAGCAAATAACTTGAAATCACGCATACCGAATCCTCATTTCATATCAGGTTTTTATTTTGTAATTTCATTTTCAGTCGGCATGCAAAATTTAAATAATTCTTTGTAACTGACATTTGGCCGTGCTTTAATGAGAAAACATACTTGTATTTTTCTTCAAAAAAGGGGCATAAAATAAATAACAATTTGTATTATTACGCATAAAGCCCAGTACGATAAAATCTGACACATTTAATTTCAGCACCCTAAGAGCGATATTGTAACAAACACGAATTTTGAGTTATCTGCTCTTTTATATTTCTTTAAGAGCAAAAGACTCACTTTAAGGGTCGGATGACTCAGAGCGTAGAAAGGGCCAGTTTTCATGAATTTATTTCATTTATAATTCTCTTTCAAGATACAAAGGTGAAGAAAATTTGGTCTTTTTGTTTTTTATTCCGGTTTTTACCTATCTAAAAAGAAGAAACTACCAGAAGTGTCTTTCAACACTTGCCGTAAATAATTATTATACATGTGTCAGGTACATGACTATAATTTTGAGCATGGTGACAAGAAATTATCAATTACAAAATATGAACGTAAAAACAAACCATTTTTAAAAGTCACTCAATAAAATGTTGCTAACTGCAAACATTTTATATCATTTGTTTACATAAATGAAAGTCTTATAGTCATTTATTAATGAGG